AGGATGCAGTCACCCCAATAGGGAAGGGGAATTTGAGATTGAAAGAAGAGGGACCTAGCAACATTAAGAAGATGTTGGTGTTTTCTTTCAACAACTGAATTTTGTTGGGGAGTTTCAGGGCAAGAATGATAGGGAATTATTCCTTTAGATTGATAAAAGGAAGTGAAATTGAGTTCTGGAGCATTGTCTGATCTAACCCCCTTAATCTTACTCTGAAATTGAGTTTCTACCATATTGACAAAAACTGGAAAAACCTGTAAGACATCAGACTTGTTCCTAAGGAGATAAACCCAAGTAGCCCTAGAACAGTCATCTACAATGGTTAAGAAATATCGAAAACCATCATGAGTGGGAACTGAAAAAGGACCCCAAGTGTCAATATGAACCAAGTCAAAAGGATTTTCACTTATTTTGTTTTTAGATACAAAAGGTAGATGTTTTTGTTTTGATAAATGACAGATCTTACAATGATGATCTGCATTGATTTTTACTTTTTCTAAAGAAAGAAGAGATTGCATAGACTGAATTTTAGACATAGCAGGATGACCTAAGCGTGTGTGCCACAATTCAGGACTAGAGACTGAAGCAGCAACCACAGAAAGAGAAGTACCTTGACAAGATAAAGACTCAATGTCCAAGAAGTAGAGATTAGCCACCTGTCTACCCTTTCCAATCATTAATTCCCGAGTATGATCCTGTATTCCACAAGATAATTTGTCAAACCAGACACGACATCCCATGCTATTGGTTAAGGCACTAACACTAAGAAGGTTGAATTTGAATTGAGGAATGTATAAGACATCATGAAGAATCAAATTTCTACCCAAATGTATAGTACCTATCCCAACAATGCTCACAGAAATACCATTAGGAAGGTTGACAGTATTATTCATAGGTTTAAAGGAAAGGAAAGAAGATTGATCATGGGAGATATGATTGGTGGCACCAGAGTCAATGACCCAAGCATGTAAAGCAGGGAGGTCACCACTCATAAAACAGACATAGGGTCTAGCAATACCGGCAAAAGAACAAGAGATAGAAGGAAAAATTGTACCGGATATTGGACCAGAGGAAGTTGAAGAAGGCACAGAAGATACTGAGACAGAATTAACTTCTGGTGTGGGAGTGGAGTCAGGAGGCTGAAGCTTACTGGCCAAGAAGGACATCAATGCCTGAATCTGAGCTGGAGAGAGATCACTAGTCATGTCAGAGGCAGTAGCAGGTGCAGAATCTTCAAGAGCAACACTGGCAACAAGAGAAGATTTCTCATTCCTCTGATTTGGCTTGAAACTAGTGGGATATCCATGCTTCTTGTAGCATTTGTCAATGACATGACCTACTTTACCACAGAAAGTACAGTATGGCCTGTCTTTTCTTGGATAAGAAGGAGCACCAGTTCCTGAAGACTGAGATTGAGAAACCTGAAATGCAGCAGAGGTAAGATCAGTAGCAACAGGCCTAACCATCTTCTGACTATCTTCTTGATCCAACAGATTGTAGATCTCAGACAGAGTAGGTAAGGTCTTCTTCATCAATATACGGCTGCGAATGTTCTCATAACTCTCATTAAGTCCCATCAAGAAGTCAATCACACGATTTGTCTCTTTTTCTGCAAGTAAATCTTCAACAGTGTGGGGAGTAACTTGAATGTTGGATAATTCTTCCCACAATGTTTGAGTTTGAGTATGGTAACTAGACAGATCCAAGCTACCTTGATGGAGAGATTGAAGCTGATGTCGAAGCTTGTAGAGGCGAGGTAGGTTTGACTTATGAAAGCGAGTATGAAGATCCTTCCAGATATCAGAAGCATGCTTAATGTAGAGAATGCTCGTGTAGATCTTCTTAGAAACACTATTCATCAACCAAGACTTCACCATACTATTACAACGGCACCAGATTTTGTGATACGGATCAGATTCAACAGGCTTCGCAATAGATCCATCTAGAAAACCTATCTTATTCTTAGCTTCCAAACTAGTAGTCATAGCAACACACCAAACACTGTAGTTGTTACCATCAAGAGGATCGAAGACTAAAATAAGGCCAGGATGATCGGAACTATGCAAATGATACGGAGAATGAATGTTATCTGGTGAATCTGATACCTCAAAAGAACCGTGAGACGGAACGGAGATAGATCGATGAACCGGAACACGATCGGAGCTACCTGAATCGCGATTTACCAATCCCGAAGTCATTTGAGCCGGCGGAGGAACAGAGGCTTCGCCGCGACTTCGAGGTGACACCGCAGTGCCGGATTCTGGTGAATCGAGACCAAGAGAACGACGATACTTCGATTTGCAGTTGCGTTTTCCCATTGAAATCAAAATTCAGCTTCGATTTGAATGAAAGAAGCTGGAAAATGCATAGGAGAACAGCGAAGAAGCGAATCGGAGCTGAAGAAACTCAAGAAGAGTTGAAATCGGAAGAGAATCCGGCGAAAAAACCGGTGAGATTCCGATGAAAAAGAGAGAAGCGGAAGTTTGTTACGGAGAGAATGAGATTACTCGCTCTGATACCATATTACCAAATAATCTCTTTCTCATTAATCAATAAAGTTTACACAAGTGAGGTTTATATACAATTAACAAACTCACTAAAGACTCTATTTACAACAGAGACTCTCTAAACACTCTATATACACTAATAGTGAACCCCGTAACTTGCATTAACTATCTTGTTTGTTTAGTTTTTTCACAAAGCTGTGTAACGTGATTGGTACTCTTTCGGCAAAAATACACGTCAAACTAAATCAAATGTTAAAAATGATATTTGATTGATTTTGAGAGTTTCTTTTGGTCTCGGCATTTAGAGTATAATCTGATTTGGGATGATTATGGTTAAGCTTGCATATTTTTAGTGGTTGGTAAAATATCTCGTTGAACAGCACCATCTTTAATATGAATGTGAGTTCTCGTCTCCGAGCCTTTTTATCTGGCTTGGTTTTCATTTTTTGTCTGAATACAAGCAAATGTCTGAATTCAACTTCAAGAAATGTAGTTGAAGTCTTGTTAGTCCCTCTTAAACACTTAGACTAAGTATGTCAATTGATATACTTTCTTTTTATCGTTTAGTACCGGTTATTTCTACTCATTTGGATGCATTTACTTTTAATTTTGTTGACGCTTTTTTCCTCTAAGTTCGTTTAGGTGTTTAAGAAGGACTAACAAGACTTCAACAACATTTGTGATGACGATTTCATCATTTCATCCAACTTATTGAATATTATTTTATCATATTTCTCTCTTTACTTTTTTTTTTCATTACGTTTCTATTTTCATTTATCTCGTTTTTTTTGCTTTGTTTTTGTGATCATGAGTGAGTAAACTCAATATTGGATTATGGGGTAGAATAAGTTGATTATTGATAAAAGATTTGTATAGATAGATTAGTAAAGGAATCCTTCATGCTAGATTTGACTTGGCCTTTTAAAATCTAGTAATATGATGGTTTATGCTCCAAACGTGTTTGATAAAGGGTTTAGACCAAATTTCATAAACATTTTTTTTACAAGGAAAGTATCGATTCAATTCGATGTGTGTTCTACTTGTTTACTACTTTAGAGCAGGTATACTCAATAAAAATGATATTGTTTACTACTTTTGAGGTATACTCTACTTTGAGGTAAATATCATTTTTATTTTACCTCTACTATTTTACAAAGAATTTTTATTTTACCTCAAAAGTTTTTTTATTTTACCTCAACTCGATTCTCTTGGTTACCGCCAAAATTGTTTTGTAGAGGAAGCCGTATATAGATCTATCACTTTCGACTCGGTTTCACGAAAATTAACTTTTTAGTTTCTAACTATATCACACAGTCTTGTTACAAACTTGAATGTCAAAGATTCCTATAAAAAAAAACTTTAACAATTGTTATTCCTGACTACAACGTCTTTGTTCCTATCTACAAGAGATTGTACCTCTAGGGACTTGATCTACATGAAGATTTGAGACGGACCTCGCTCTCGTGGTGTACTTGACGAAGAAATGTACCCAGACTTGCTTTGGTAATGAATTGGGCAAATCTTTCCACATGAGACGTCTTTCTTGTTCACATAGGATTATAGGAAGGTAGAGCAGTCATGTGCTAACTCTACATATGGTTTCCAGGAACCATGAAGACGTGGAAGTCACCAATATACCAACTCCACTCCTTGCTTCCTTCCGACCATATATAGTAACCACACCAATATACCATCCTAATATTCCCACTCGAACACATGGGGAGTTAGAATGAGTGGCGGTTCCCGTGCACAATATGAAACTTTTCTCTCTACCCATCTCACCTTTTAACCAATAATAATAGTTTCAACAAAATTCATTAAAGGTAAACAAATAAATTTTTATATATTCAGTTAAAGTATCTTTATTGTCTACTATTTTCTCTTTGCCATTGTTCTTAGTTTGAGAAAAACATATGTGATATTCTACTATAGTTTCTCATTGCAATTCTTCTTATTTAGGAAAAAGATATATATTTTATATATGGTGCAGTTTTTCAACAGTTAGTGGAGAAGTAAAAAAAGAAGAGCTGAAACTTAATAGTAATGAACCTCGTAGAGAATCTTTACTTGATATCGCCAAATATTTGATGGAAACATATGCAAGTGTTCTTTTTTCGATCCATATCTATTGATGGAAACATATGCAAGTGTTCTTTTTTCGATCCATATCTAGTTCTGTGTATGTGTCTTTGGGTCAAACAAATAAGTTATTCTTATCAAAAAAAAAAAAAGTTATCATAATAAAAGAGAAAATTTACAACAAATGAGAAAATAGTAATTAAAAAGTGAAAAAGTAAAAAACAAAAAGAGGCAAAAATAATTTCCAAAATAAAATTAAGAAATGATATAAAGTTGGGAAAAAAGTGTGATGAACCTATCTCAAAGACTTCACGTTTTTGCGATATGTCCCAAATCACATATAGTGGAAGGTCGGTGCTAGCTCTCTTTCATTCATTTTGTGGCTATAAAAAGGCAGTCTCCTCTCCATCATTATTTGCTTCTGTGGGTAACAAAGAGCAAACACTTAGAAGAAACTAAGGATACTCTCATCAAGGCATTAGAAGAAAAATGGTTTGGATAATCTTTTTCTTCTTACTTGTTAACTATATATTGGTTATAAGATTCGGCAACTTTGGATTGATGTGGTTGTTTTCAGGAGAGCAAAGGGAGTTGGACAGTGGCTGATGCCGTAGACTACAAAGGCCGACCCGCCGACAAATCCAAAACCGGTGGCTGGATCACTGCAGCTCTCATTCTTGGTTCGTCTTCTTCTTGTTCTCTACTAAACCTATATACATATATGCATTTGCAGATTTGGTCCAACATGTATACATAAGAATCTGTGTGAAGTTTACTCATATAACTCTTAGCTAAAAACAAACTTCCTCTTCTTCTATATTAATTTTGACTGCCTACTTTTTACTTATGTTTTTTTAAAACTAAAATCTTCATTTCTTACTTCACGTGACATGCATAACTACTTATATTTCTATTATTTAATATTCGGTAAATAAAGAAAATACAGCTGTCGTGCACATATTCGCAGAGTAGTCATTCGTGAATACCTACAATATGTTTATAAGTAGTTAATTTGATCAAGATGGTGGTAGTTCATGCGTATAAGTTTTGATTTCCATAATTCGTATAATTTGTGAATACATGGTGAGGAACAAAAGAGACTGAATTCCAAATCAGTCACACTCACACATGAATGATATGATTGAAATAAATCTGTTTGTATATATAAAATATGAAATGTCGTTGTTCTGAATCTCGCTGATTGAAAGAAAGATAAAGAGAAAAGGGACACGCCACATGGCTCCCCATCTCGCTTATCCAATCATAATATATATATTTTAATAAGTTTAATCATTCTCAAAAAGAAATATTGATTAGAAAGAGAAAAACGAAAATTAGATTTTGCATCTGTATTCACGTGTCTACTTAGGGAGCATAAAATGCCGACCTCTAAACTCTTGTTCTGTTCCTTAATATTCTCTTACAGAAACTACCAGTTGTCTTAATTACACAATTAGTCCAGATAATCCAAATTTTAGTTTTGTTGCTTTCTGAGTTTAAAACTTAAAACTGATCATATATCTCCATCACTATCAGTTCCTTACTTTTTTAAATGACAAAAAGATTGATTTACAGCCATAACTTATCATAAATATTCTATAAATATTTTAAACATGTTTCCAAAATAAATACAATCATAGTTGGAGAATGAAAGCTAGCTCTATATGTTTTTAGCCTCAGTCATTAATTACACGTCTCTTTTCCGTATTAATTTACCTTTAGACATGCAACAAAATTTATTTATCAGTTTATGGCTACTTTCATGCTATTTTCAAACATTATAATTTTCTAAATCCTAAAATATACTGATTCCTTACCATGAGTCATTTACTACTTAGAATAGATTTGGCTTCTTAATTAACAAAAGAAAATAAGGATTAACACAACATTAGTTGAAGATTATTCTACTTGTATGTATCAAATGGACTCACAAATTAACTTAGAACATGTACAAATGTTGACAGAATAAAAATGAAAAATATATATTGCAGGGATAGAAGTTGTGGAGAGGCTATCAACAATGGGAATAGCAGTGAATTTGGTAACATATTTGATGGAGACAATGCATCTCCCAAGTTCAACTTCTGCCAATATTGTCACTGACTTCATGGGCACTTCCTTCCTCCTTTGCCTGCTCGGAGGCTTTCTCGCTGACTCCTTCCTCGGCCGTTTCAAAACCATCGCTATTTTTTCAACCATTCAAGCTCTGGTAAGACTCTATCTAAAAGCTTATACATATTACCAAACAAAAAAAATCATTGTCACGCGTTTATAAGGACGAATAACAATTATATTTCTACAAAATCTCCGAATCATTTTTTTTATTTTTTTTTTATAAAGAAATCTCGAATATGTATAGCAATTAGAGCTCTACTTTTATTTTAAAAGTTACTTACAACATCATATAAAATGTTTGCTATCAAATCTGCTAAGGTCGTTAAAATAGTTTGAGTCAGTCTTTTTTTTTTTTTTTTGGTGGTATCAAAACCAGTTTTAATATCTTGTATACAGGGAACTGGTGCACTAGCGGTAGCAACGAAGCTGCCGGAGCTACGTCCACCAACATGCCATCATGGGGAAGCTTGCATCCCCGCGACCGCCTTCCAAATGACTATTCTTTATATTTCACTTTACCTTATAGCCCTTGGAACTGGTGGCCTTAAGTCTAGTATCTCTGGATTTGGGTCAGACCAGTTTGATGACAAAGATCCTAAAGAAAAAGCTCACATGGCTTTCTTCTTCAACAGGTTAGGTTTAGAGTTTATTTTCATGGCATTGTAACATTGTTATAGTGTTCCCTTTTTAAAATTAAATCTTAATTGGCACATGCAGGTTCTTCTTCTTCATTAGCATGGGGACATTGTTGGCTGTGACTGTTTTAGTTTACATGCAAGATGAAGTGGGAAGATCTTGGGCTTATGGAATCTGCACTGTCTCTATGGCTATAGCTATAGTAATATTCTTGTGTGGGACTAAGAGGTACCGTTATAAGAAGAGTCAAGGAAGTCCCGTTGTGCAAATCTTTCAGGTCATAGCGGCTGCATTTAGGAAGAGGAAAATGGAACTACCTCAAAGCATTGTTTATCTTTATGAAGACACTCCAGAGGGCATAAGAATTGAACATACTGATCAGTTTCAGTAAGTTTCTTTATTCAATTTTTACAAAGTAAAAAAGTAAATTAAAGTAAATTTTGTATCTAATAAAATCTTGTGTGTAGCTTGTTGGACAAGGCGGCCATAGTTGCAGAAGGAGATTTCGAACAAACCCTAGACGGAGTCGCAATTCCAAACCCTTGGAAGCTAAGCTCAGTGACCAAAGTTGAGGAAGTGAAAATGATGGTTAGGCTTTTGCCTATTTGGGCAACAACTATAATTTTCTGGACAACATATGCCCAAATGATTACATTCTCTGTTGAGCAAGCTTCAACTATGAGACGTAACATTGGAAACTTCAAGATCCCAGCTGGTTCCCTCACCGTGTTTTTCGTCGCGGCTATTCTCATAACTCTAGCTGTCTACGACCGCGCCATAATGCCTTTTTGGAAGAAGTGGAAAGGAAAACCAGGTGACATAAGATGCATACAACATTCATATATCTATATTTTTGCATATATATATATATATATATCAACTATATATTAACATGCCTTAACATTTCAGGTTTCTCTAGCCTACAAAGAATAGCTATTGGATTGGTCTTATCAACCGCTGGAATGGCAGCTGCAGCTCTAGCTGAGCAAAAGCGTTTATCGGTTGCGAAATCTAGTTCACAAAAAACATTGCCCATAAGTGTATTCTTACTTGTTCCACAATTCTTCTTAGTGGGAGCTGGGGAAGCTTTTATCTACACTGGCCAACTTGATTTCTTCATAACCCAATCGCCTAAGGGAATGAAAACAATGAGCACTGGCCTTTTCTTGACCACTTTATCACTAGGTTTCTTTGTCAGCAGTTTCTTGGTCTCAATTGTCAAGAGGGTCACTTCAACTTCTACTGATGGAGGATGGCTGGCTGATAACATCAACCACGGCCGACTCGATTACTTTTATTGGCTTTTAGTCATTCTCAGTGGAATTAACTTCGTTGTCTATATCATATGTGCCTTGTGGTTTAAGCCAACGAAGGGTAAAGACTCAGCAGAGAAGGAAAATGGCAAGGGATTTTCAGTTGAAGACTGCTAAATTTTGTTTTGAATAATTTTCTTATGTACCATATTATCTTGCAACAATGTCGCTTTCCAATTATGTTTTTGTATATTATGCAATTGGGTTGTGTCTAGATTCCTACCGGTCTGAAATATTGTGTCTTCACTGTTTTATGTTATTCACTTTTTTTTTTTATCAATCAGAGAGAAAAATAATAATTTAACTAAAGCTCACGTATACTTTAAACTTTCTGGTTACGTATTATCACGATCCGATCAATCTTTTAGGTTGAATGCTTTAGTAGATCGAGAAATTAAAATGAGATCTACCTTTAGGCCTTTAGCCATTCCAAATCTCTTTATCTTTGTTTATTGTCCGCCAGAACATTGTAGAACTTTGGAGAACATCTTGCAACATTAAAGGAAGTCTTAAAAGTTGTCGAAAAGTGTTGAAAGATCTAGATTGATTTCGACCGGATAAAATCCATCTTTATCGTTCATTTTGAAGGTAAACTTGTATTTTAAAGAGTAGGATCTTTCATTAGTAGTGAGTTATGAAGAAGATGTGTACCAAAATTCTATTAAATAGCTTAATGAACATTATATTTGTTTTAGAGTTTCTCTGCAAAGCTCACGAGGTAGGATCGTGCATTTGATATACCAAAGAACTGCAAAACTCATGAGCATGTTCTTTAATATATATATATTGTCGGCAATTGTTTATTATTAGAAAAAATTGAGAGTTTTCTCTCGTCTTAAGGTGTCCATATCATCACAACAATAATATTATGGACCCCACCAATAATAATGTCAAAGTAATTAATTTTGTGGTTAATTACATCTAATTATCTAAACACTAATCTTCAATTAATACACAATTCTAAATATGTAATTAAGAATAAAAAAATTAACAATGAATTTTTCTTCAAAAATCAATGTTATTTAAGATGGACAAAATTATTCTTAATGAAATTCATTATACAATTACAAACAAAAAGCATGTTTTAAATATTAATATTTTTATTTTTTTAGGTTAGAAAAAAATCAAACGGTTAAATGTTATAGTAAATGTATGATTGTATGTGTTTTTAAGATATAAGAAATAATTTCTTTTTAAGAATAAATGCTTAAAATTTGAAATTAAAACTTAATTCAAAGTTAAGTCTCTTATATGTGAGCGCAAAAAATATAAAAAGAAAGTAGATATTGAGAGGTAGACAAGTGCATCATAGAAAATGACGAAAAAATGACAAGAAAAAAGTGTTTAACAAGAAATTGATTAATGCTTGCAACGTCGAATATATGTATTCACATGACTAAAGTAAACTCATTCCGATCTCATTCACTATGAGAAATGAATGAATTTTTATGATTTGGTTTAGTAAACCATATTATGATATTCAAAATCGGGCTTAACCGTCAAGTTATGTAAGCGTGGTAAGATATATAAAATATGGTCATTCATGACTTGGTCAAAAAAAATTTTAAAAGACGATGGTCTTGTTTCAATAGGTAAATCGTGCTCTTCAAACCTATTGAAACGATAAGAATATTACGGTTATACATTTTCATAAATTGGTCTTCAAACTCAACAAATTTACTTTTACTATGGGGTACAATTATGTCAAAACCTCAAAGAAGATATACTAACAACATATGATTATGGAATAACCTCTTTTTGGATAAAAGGTCATAGATGGCTATCGAAACCGATTCATCTTATATAATTTTTGTTATTACGTGGTATATACCAAATATTTTTGATAATTTTATGTTGTATATTGCTTTGTAATACAAGTACGAATATAATTATTATTTTAAATTCAACATTGATTCATTATTTTTAACAATTTGTATTGATATCACTTTAAATTTGATATCCCTTGCAAAGCACATGTGAATAAATCTAGTGTTTTAAGTAGCCTAAATCACATAATCTAATACGTGTGAATATAATTTTGAATATAATATTACTAAATTTATGATTATCGTTGACTAGAGAAAATCCGGTAGTAAATAAAGTATACATTTGACAGATGAGTTGATTATCTATATTTACATTTGTGGAATACATTTATAAAATAAATTCTGGAGTTTGAAAGTATTTACAACTACTATCACTGGTGGGTCGAGTTGTTTTAATCGACTGACCCGGATAATTGGCAATTGGATATCGATTAAATTCTGTAAAAAACAAAAAAGAAACTCGACATTAGTTAGGAAATATCAACCAAACGATTTAGGAAATAACAACTAACTCAATAATCCGTTAACTTAGGGGGTGTTATTGGTTTATTCATTTGTAAATCCATATAGAATTTGAAAATTTCTATTAATTATAAAATCAAGATATGTGGATTTTGAAATAACATGTGTTTACCCATGGATTTGAATTCTTCTATTTTTCTCTTTCAATTCCATTCAAATCCATTTAAAACATAATTTGGATTCTCAAATCCAAAAACAAATGACTAAACGAATAACATAGGATTTTAACTAGTATTTATAAATCATAGAACCAATAACACATGATTTTAATTAGGATTTTAAAATCAATGATTGAATAACAAATGATTTTTGTTTGGATTTCTAATTCCTTATAAATCCATGAACCAATAACCCCTCCTTAGACTAATTAATAGTACTATATCTCTTCACTTTCTTATAATTCACCATATTTAATTCAAAAGAATTACTCCCTCAATCCACTGTTATTCCCTAAAATATCTCTAAAGTATATTACCGTATTTATTATTTCATTCTACATAATCACTAACAATACTAGATTGACTCGAAGATTTTTTTTTTTTTTGTCAACAGCTTAAATTAGAGCTCAAAAGAGCCATTCTTGGGGAATGTTGTTTACATATGTGATATGAAGCGGTTCGGTACGAACTTGTCGAGCCAATTTATCCGCTTTTACATTTGCGCTACGAGGAATTAAAGATAAAGAAAAGCTTGAAAATTCTTCCTTGTCACTCTGAAAGTCCTCCAGATAAACTGAAAAAGCCGGCCACTCGGTTGGAGAAGACACCATCTTCACCAAATCTGAACAGTCTGTAAAGAAAGCTACATCTTCGTTGTCAGCACCAATCATACACTTCATCGCCCAAAGAAGAGCTTCGACTTCTGTATGTAGAGGAGATAAACTTCTACGGATGTTGGCAGCTCCCATGGTTGGCATCTCTCCATTTGATGATGTACAATACCATCCTGTTCCTGAAAAAGTATCGGTTCCTTTCCATGATCCATCTATGAAACAACGATATCCTGAATAATTAGATTCTAGTGAGATTTCCCTCACTCGGTTTCGACTTTCATTATCTAAAAAACCATGGTTATCAGCATGAAGCTCATATTGAGCTAGCTGCCACGATTGCGCCTCTTTCTCCGCTAAACGTAAGACCTCTAATGGATCTTTATCCACATTGTCAAAGATCTTTTCATTCCTTGCTTTCCAAATGTACCAAATTATCCATGGATAAGAAGATGAATCTACCTCTGAAGGTATTCTCCAAAAAAGGTGATCCAAGTTCTCGTAAATAGAAGCCGTAGGGAAAATCCCCGGAACCGAAGGAATTTGAGAAAGAGCCCAGATTTGTCTCGCCGGATGGCATTCAAAAAGTGTATGATTAACTGTTTCCTCTATGGCGCCACATGTAACACATCCGGTATCACAATTTATACCTCTCTTTCGCAGATTCTCCGTAACTGGTACACAACCTGATAAAATTTGCCACAAAAAATGTCGTAGCTTAGGTGGACACTGCACCTTCCAAGCATATGCTTTTAGAGGTTTTATATCCGGGCCAAAAGATTTTAAACTGGCATCCAAGTCCTCTATCCGAGCCGCATGGTAACCAGATTTAACTGTATATTTTCCAGATTTAGTGTAATGCCAACCAAGGGTATCCTCTTTAGTTGGCGCACCCAAAGGCAAGGCACTAATCAGCGCGACATCTTCTGGATCAAAGAGCTCCCTCAAGAGATCCATGTTCCAAAAATTTGACCGGCTGTCGACAAGGCTATTAACTTTCAAAGATGGATCAATAATTGAACCATTACTTTTTGCTGGTCTCGGGAATTGAGCTGGTATCCATGGATCCTCCCAAACTGAGATGGACGCCCCAGAACCGACTCTTTTAATAAGTCCTTTAATAACCAGAAATCTAGCTGACAATATACTTCTCCAGCCATAAGAAGGAGAGTATGATTTTATATTATCCAATGGACTGGATTTCCGAAAATACCGTCCTTTAAAAACCTTTGCAAAAAGTGAATCAGGAACCGTAATTAAACGCCATAATTGTTTTGCTAGTAACGCCGAATTAAAATCATCTACATTCTGAAATCCTACACCACCTTCCGATTTACTATTACATAGCTTATTCCAAGCCATCCAGTGCATTCTTCTCGACTCGCCGTTAGAACTCCACCAAAACTTAGCAACCGCACTTGTAAGTTTAGAAGTAATTGTTTTTGGTAACCTAAAGCAAGACATAACATATGTTGGTAGTGCCGCAGCTACCGATTTAATCATAACTTCTTTCCCACCTTTTGATAAAAATTTGGCTGACCAACCATTTATTCTAGCCTGAAGTCTATCTCTGACAAAAGAAAAGATCTTTGTCTTCGATCCACCTAGACTTTCAGGTAAACCAAGATAAGATCCCATACCCCCAAGATTATGAATTCCCAAAACCGCTTTTACTTATAATACACTAAGATTGACTCGAAGATATCTCTTTACTTTCTTATAATACACTACATTTTTTTCAAAACATTTTCTCCCTCCAATCTATCATACAATACACCCTTAAATAGCTCCAAAAATTTAACACCATATTTAATAGTTTAATTCAATGAAATCTTTAACTATATGATTTCCTAAACAGGTGACTCATTCTTTCACATTTCAAAGATATTCGTTTTCTTTTCCACGTTTTATATATCAAATTCAAAGATCTAATCCTCTTCATATCATAATCAAAACCGTACGTTTACAGTAAATTATTTATAAGTTTTAAACCTTTTTTAATAAATTCAAAGATTATCTCCCTAAGATATT